GGAATGAGACTCACCCATCTTTCTCGGCTCTGATTGGTTGTTTTCCTTCAGGTCCGGTGGATTCTTGTAAATACCATTAGGAGCACTGGAACGAGCCGGAGGAACCAGTTTTTTTCAAAGATTACCTGTCTCGTGTACTACTGTCAGGATATAGTCAAAGTTTCGAAAAACATTTTCATAAAAATGACCTCCTGCAGCTTTAATTTCAGGTATATGTATATCTGAATATGGCTACATTGGTAAGATGAACCTGCTGCTAAAGAGAACCAGGGCATAAATGAGCTGCCAGGCCCCTTCAGGTCACTATCATGTCACTATGTTGATGTTGAAAGTTTAGTGCATATTTATAATCAATGTTTGAGCTCATTTTAGTCATTTTTGTCTGTGTTTGACTTGCTTGTGGTTTGATAGGATGCTGTCTGTGTTTTCAATTTTAAACAGAGAAGAGTAGGGGACAGTGAACATGTCTTTTGAATGTTGTTGTAGCCTTTTATAACATCTGTTCTGTTACAGAGTTTTTTTTTTAAATTTGTATTCAGTTTTGCTCTCTGATGCACCAGTCACATTTCAGATTTTTTATGGACAGACTATTTTTTGGGGATCTTCTTAAATTTTCTGCAGGGTGGGAAATGGATGGGGCTTTCTCTGTGAAGCTGTTAATTAATAGAATCATTTTTCATAATCATTTATTTCAAAAGGTAATTAGGCTACATAATGTCCCTTCTTCCTCCCGATGAGCCACAATCATCACATCATTATTACTATCAATTAATCCTTAATAACCCTAACCAAAAGCACCAGAAAGTGTGTAAAGGGATCTTTACGATGAGTCCCTGAATGCAGCATAGCATTTAAAGAAGCCACGCCTCCTCCGCTGTGTCACACGCTGCCCACACGCCTCCTCTGCTACAACCATTCAGAAGACCTGAGCAAGCATCTCCACACAGATTGAAGGTCTCTGGCCATTATACAGTGTGATTGTTTCCACACACATCAGATCCCCGGGATGTGTCCGTCATATTCCCACTGTGGTACCTTACCTTCAGGAGGATGATACCTGTAGCTCAGGCTGTCCACCTGTGTTTTTCCTCACAATATTTAATATAGGTGGTCATAGATGTAACTGCTCATCATGTATTGTTTTTACCCTGCTCTATATTTGTGTGGCTCCTCTCCTTTTGGCTGAGTGGGCTCTGCTTGGTATGAGTGGGATGGCGCCACATTTTTCTTGGATGTCAAAGCCTCGTAATGGTGGGTTGGGGAATCCCACACATTTAACACATTACGATCCGAAGGCCTTTAAACGAGGCTTCACAAAAAAGAGACAAAGGCAGAAGATAACCTGGACCCGTGTGAAGAGAGGACAGTCTCGCCTTTTGTGGTCTGCAACACATTTTTAGGTGAGATAAAACAGGTGAGATATTTTAGGGCTGGTGGTAGCGAGGATAATAAAGTGGATCCTCGGCTCACTATCAGAACAGACTGATTTTGCTTCGATTGTCACATCTGATTAAAGTAGATCCCGAGGAGACCAAACTGCAGACAGTGGAAATCAATCAGGTATGTTTGGTCTTTACCAGAGCAAGCAGCAACATTCTCACTGTCAGCGAGGCTATTGATTTACTCCTCTGTGAGTATTCAACCCCCTCAATTAGTTTCCGTAATTGAATGTAGACTTCAATTATGTTTGCTGACTGCCAATCCATCTCAAAGTATAATTATACACAAATGAATTAAGATAATGATTGTTAATCACAGTAAATAATAAGCAGAGCTGCAGACTTGAGTTGGGCTTTAAATCACAGCAATAAGGACCCGAGACTTGACTTGAGACTAGAAAACCAAAAAGTCTCAAATTCTGGAAAAACCCAGAAACAAACAACAATATTGAACAGCAACAGATACACATGGGTTGGTCTCTATCATATGAAAACACAGGTTTAAAAGGGAAATGTTTAAGTCATTTTGATGGCCAACATTCAGAGATCTGAAAGACTTGTGTGAACTTAAACTTGAACCAATTTTCTTCAGATTTGCCTCCAAAACTGATTTAAAACTGATATTTTCACGACAGACTAAAATTAAAAAACTGGATGTAGACTTCAGACTTGGACACGAGGATTGAGACAGCAAGGGTTAAAAAAATGTTAGGGTTAGTGCCAATCAGAAGCAGAGTAGGGCATAGGGCTAGTCTTTGTGGAAGCTTAAAGCTGAAAATGTCCTTGTTAAAATGGATTAAAAAATACCAAAAGAATTAGGTTTATGGGTATGTTCTGGTTCTGGTTAAGGTTAAGGGTTAGGTTAGGGTTGTGCTTGTTTCCTCGTTAAGGGAACAACATTATAACAGTGTTTAATAGTCATTAATGCTTTAGCCACTGTGGTAGAAAGGTGTCTTAGACAGTTTAGGTGTATCTGGCCTACTGTAAAACAAATGGCGGTTAGACACGGCGAACCTCACTGTAAGGCGCACCACCCTGCGGGCAATCTGGTAGATAAAAACGTCTCATTGCTAACGGGTACGAAAGAACACAAACAATTCTGGTTTATGTTCATTCGTTGGAGCTTATGTATAGATGCTCATGACAAACAGGTGACCGTTTGATTTTTTTGGATGCAGGTACTTCCAATCTTCTGAAATGAATATTATATTATATTATATTTCTGCCAATAGATCCTCCTTAATGTTACACACTGGAGCTTTAATGTTGTTTTGCTACAGTTACTTAAAACTTGACTCCCTAAAGACTTTTTTTTATTGCTTTTTGTTGGTGTATGCCTTTATTTGATAGCCATCAGTTGTCAGATGACAGGATGTGAGGGGAGAGAAAGATGGGGAATGACATGCAGCAAGGGTACCCTGTTAGATGTACTCCAGTCAGCTCTGACTTAAGACTAAGACACAAATATACCAGTATTAAATGAACACTTGTCGCATGACTTGGACTTATCATTTAGGACTTGTGACTTTACATTAGACTTTTTATTATAAGACTAGAGCCTTTAAATGAACTCAACTGATGGGAGATTTGACTCGGACCTCCCAATATGACTTTAAAACAGTTCTGCCTGTATGTATATTTAGTCCAAAGTGGAGGTGTAAGCAGGTAGGCAAGAATCTGGGTGGGCAGGACACACACACACCTACACACCGACATACCTGAAGCATCCATTCAGCAGCATTTGATCTCCTCTTCATGCACATCCCACTCACCATCGTCCTCTCTCCGCCTTTTCTGTCCGCTTCAAATCCACGTCCGTGATTCATCAGCGCGGCGCACTGACATTCAGGGACTTGTCTGTGCATCGCCCACTCCCACGCAGCCCCAATGAGCTTGTAGTGCACAGTCAGCTGCAGAATGGAGCCAGTCCATTCAAAAAGAGTACATGAGTGTGAAGTGGATTCCAGTAAGACAAAGACACCAACTCAGGCTATTTCAGGCTCACAGGAGGCCTGGATGATGGAGCGTCAGTGCGCAGGCTTTGTTTAGGGAGAATACTTCAAGGCTATAGATAGGAATATTTCAGGCCTTCCTTTCACTTTGCAAAGGTCTAGCTGATGCTTTTGTCCTGTAGAAACAGTCTTCAATAACCTTTATAACAATAGTGAAGAGTGAAAACAAGGTCACGATGTGCCAATAGTTTCTATCTGAGACATAAATGCTGGAAAATAAATAGAGAGAAAGAGAGGGTTGTAAATGGGTTCTCTTGTCTGTGTGAAGGTACTGAAAGGTTAGATTTCCTCTCTCTTCATTTGTAAATAAAATCTTTTTGCAGATGGATGACGAAAACCATTAAAGTGCTCCCTTAACTGCCTCCACTCTTCTGGTATCAGACTTTACAGCACAAAAATGCTTTTAAAAGTGCTGCCCCCTCTTCCTGGAAGGATGTACAGCGGGACCTATTATCATTATTTCAAATGATCAAGAAATTGGTTTTCTTGGTCAACGTGATTGTTCTTCAGCTGTCGTTGAAATTGTTTTTTAAAATTGTCCCTGACCTTGTATTCCATATTAACTGGATATTGTGTTGACTCATCTGTAGTGTGTGAGAGCTGTATTTACCTGTATTGTATTGTACCGGCTGTAACAATGATTATGCTGCCTTTTACCTGGTTAAATAAAGGATATATATATATAGGGCTGGCTCACAGTCCAGTTCATACTAAAGGTGTTGGATGGGGTCGAGCTCAGTGGTCTGTTGCACCAAGCTGAGAGACGTGTGTCTTTATGGAGCTGGCTTTATGCATGGAGACATTGTGTTGAAACAGCAGCGAGACAATGCAAACAAGTCTTAAAACCCGTCTTCTGTAGCATTACTTCCTCTGCCTTATAGGACAGGTACTCTGCAGCAGAGGCTTTAGAAAATATCTGTCGCCACCTTGTGTTCAATCATGGAAGATTTGAATTGTGACCTGCAGTGAAGTGACAGACAGTATGACAATTAAAAAAACACTTTTATTGTAAAAAGAATGTACAGAGAGGTACAGAGGTACAATTTCCAGACCGATAATAAGACAATGCTGTGCTGATGAAACGACGTCTGCAGCCTGACTATTAGTCATCAGTGTTTTTGTGTCTGTAAGATTAACTGATTTACAGATTAGTTAGATAGATCTTCAAAGATACACAAGCTTAAGCCTCATGAATGTAGGTCATCGTTCCTGCTGCAATTTAACACAGGTCTATACGAGCGAATCTGAGCATGATATGCACAGTAAAATAATTACAGGCGCTGATAATACTCAGTGGGTAAAGTTATTACCTTGAACAGATTAACAAATGTTGTCTGGGCTTCATAGGTAAGCCCACAGCCGATATGATTAGCCCTTTCTCCAATGACACTGAACTAATCCACAAGGGGAGCAGAGAATTAGATTAGTTAAGCTGCTTGAAAAAAGGTCAGACTGAGAGAATATTCGACGAAACAGACGCTTATGCAAATGTTCCTGTACTTTACAAAAAGTTCTGGGGCGGGTCAAATAAGTTGTATGAAAGCAAAGCCGGTACGACTGAGGCAGACAGCCTGTAGGCCTGTACTGTGAGAGGGTTCTGGTTCCATCCCGTCCGCCTTAAAGGGTCAGCCCACTCAAATTTCAACAAAGACATTTTATCACTCCGTCCTACTGCTGCCTGGCCGAGCTCATAGTTCTGCACTTATTTGCGAAATGAAACATTTAGTCCCTCCTTCGGTGTTTGATTTTTATTTATTGTCAATAGTTTTTTTTAAAGATGCTGTGAGGAGTTTTTAACTGGTTATAAAAGAGTCTAAATTTCCTTCTGATGCATTTATATGACCTTCACACACAAAGAGCATCAGCGAGAAGATTAGCTATTTCTATAGAGATATTCTTGATGTCTGCCACCGAATCGGGTTCGGTCGAAATCAGACAAAACAAGGCAGCGGAAACAATCCCGCTTCTGTCCACAGGGGCCGCCAGAAAGTGTAGCTTCATGGATTTAAAAAAGTCTTTGGGGAAAGTTCATCATGTACGTAGACTGACAGCTAACAGTACGCAAAGACAGGAAGCACCATCATGAAACCAAAAAAACATCAGATCTTAATTTCTCCCTTTTGGTTTCTGCGTACAGACAGACGGCTGATTAACTGATTAACTCAGCTGACACTTTCAGAGAAGAGCTTTTGCACATTTGCCATATTTTCTAAATGTTAACACTTTTTTTTCTAAATGACGGCAAATCTAGTGGAAACCCATTACTGACTAGCATTTATATATCATACATTGTCATAATAATGCAATTAAATGACCTGCAGTACTATCTACAGCATAAACAGATGTATTTTTATGTTTCATTAATTCATAAAACATCAAATACAACATGTTTCTGGCTAAGTTAACCACATATATTAGACTGTTATGTGCAACGAATAACTAAAAAGAATTATACATAACTTTTCTTTGTTTGGATATTGGCATTATATATCGGCCATCAGTCGCCCTGCTCTCTAAATGAATTGTTTTTAATTTTGGTTGGATTTTAAGATAATTTCTTTGGTAAAAAGTAGTCCCAATAAAAACTGTTCATCTTTTTCTGGAAACAGATGCTGCTGTTGAGTTAAAAAACAAGATAAAAGTATTTACTAGATAAAACCTTTTTGTAATTTGGGTGAACTGACCCTTTAACCGTGTCCATTAAGAGGAGATGTATGCACGAGGATGATTTGATGAGTTACAGTAACACATACATGCATTTAAGTTAAGTCGATGTGTGTAAAATGAACACAGAGGAAGAACACTGAAACAAAGGTTAGGCACAATATTCTAATGTCACAGGTCTTCATGGTTCAGATCAGCATGTCTCGCTGCAGCGAACCGGTCCCGGCCGCCGTCAGGTGTCGTCCTGCAGCAGACGAGGACAAACAGCGGCTGGATGACGTGGAGGAAGCCCAGTGTATCTGAGAGTGGCTGCTGTCACTTCACGGCAGGAGAGAGAGAGAGAGAGAAGAGTTCTCCCGCTAATGTTTGTGTGGTTGTGGGTTCATGTCGGACTTGTTGTGGAGAAGGTCCAGCAGATGAGCTGAGGGAGGTCAGTGGTGCTCCTACGCAGCGAGCAGCTCTCGCTCCGGCTTCTTTCTGGGACGTTCCCTCTCTGGAACACAAACACATACACAGACTTACAAAAGGCATCGAGAACCGGGGGAACCATCGATTAGTCGATGAGCTGATTAAATGTTTAATTCGGATAAAATAACTGTTCATATTTTGTACAACGGCAGTTAAATAATGTAAGGAAGTCCCACATTTCAGCGGCTTTTAAAATACGATTGAGTTATTGAAGAACGTGATTAACAGATTAACGGGAAGCTGGCGAACGTGATCAAACGTAACAGAAATCAAGCTTTCATTTACCTCGTCAGTGAACATGATTTCTCTCTGATATTCATCTGCAATGCTGGTTGTTTAATAAGCAACTCCCATGATCCCCCACTACTTCACAACATCCACAAACTACGTCTGTTGTCAGTGTTGATGTCAGAGACCCCTAGTGGCAGAAATGATTACACGTCTAAGATAAAGAAAAAGCATGTGAGGGAACGGACCTGGTTTCTCCTCCATGTCCTCTGGGACTTCTGGCAGCTGGTCTGAGGGAACCTCGGGAAGCTCAACGTCTCCCTGAGGGACAGTTTGAAAGACGAGAGAACAGAGACGACACAAGATGAGGAAAAGATTGAAGAGCAGAGCTGCTTTGGATCCTCTGAGCCACTGATGTCATCTACATGAACGAGTTCAGCCCTCGTACTGGCAGCGATTAGACCAACCTGAGTTATGGCCTCCAGCTCAGCCAGAACAGCATCCTCATCTTCTTGTGATAAAGAACCAACCAGCATCTCGTCTATTTGCTGCGGAGACACAACGAACCGATTTATATTGCAGATCAGAGTTCAGCTGAACGTCTTTAAAGTAAATCACTGTCCTGTATTCCTGACATAAACGGGGGGGCTTACCCTTTGGTACTCAATGGCATCTTGGGTTTCATCCATAATGCGCTCTACTTCTTCAATAGACATCACCTAACGCGGGAAGAACAGAGCTCGTCAGTAACCGGTGACACAGGCAGAGGATGTGATGCATCACACGCGACTTTACTTCGCCTACCTCGTGCATTTTCTTCAGACACTCGTTTCCAACCTTCAGCCCATCAATGACTTTCCTTTCAATCTGGGCAAACTCCAGGTCTTGAACCTGAAATGAGCCGAAAAGAGAAGAACCGTTAGTTTCACTTTAGTGTTGCTGCTACGCGCCGGGGGGGTCAGGTCCTCCGATGGCTCACCATGCGCTCCAGGTTGCCGATCTGGTTCTCCGTCTTGTCCAGAAGTTGATCCTGGTAGCGCTTCTTTTTCAGTAGGAGGAGTGCTTTACTGTTCGAGTCACAAAGACAGCAAAGTGGTTAAAATCAAACTGATTTCTGAAGATCGGCAAGAAAAAAGGAATCCGATCGCGATATTGTGTTAATGAGTGTTATAAACGTAAACTGAGGGCTAAGATGTTGGATGTTACAGAGATAAATACATCATACAATCTTCTTTTCTACTACAGTTTTGCTAAAACTAGATTAATAGATATTTCAATATATCGGTTTACAGTATCACAATATACCGAGTCGCCAGATTCTTGCCAATACACAACCATACAGAGAAAAATCTCCCATCAAAAGTAAACTAGTAAGAGCAGCTTTTGGTTTTGTGACTATAAACTGAACTTCACTTTAACATTGAGCTGTAATCCGTTCCTATACTCACTCTTTCTTGCCATCATTCAGCAGCTGCTTGGCTAAGAGTCTCTCCTTCCCCAGCTGCAGGTTGATCCTCTTCTGATACTGCCTCAGTTTATCTCTCTGCTGTTTCAGTTGCTGCAATCAATCAGAGACACACCTGCCGTTTACACTCACACATACCTCATTAACATCATACAGCACCTTCTTGTTGTGCTATGCAGCTGTCAGTGCCATTACAGTGCAGGCAGACAGGCTGCTGTCAAACTCTACAGTGTCTGCAGTAAATCATTCACCCTGTAAAACACCAGTGATAAGAAATGATTATGAGACTATCAAGGCCAGACTTACATTATGCTCTTGGGATAAAATCGGCATACAAGTAGCAGAGCACCACTTTAATTTAAGTTGTTAATATCTCAACTTTTAAAAGGGAGTTATAGTGTCTTAATGGTGCAGCTTGAAGGCTGAAATGAACACCCCCCCAGCCTAAATAATGATATTGTTCAGATACAGTAGTGCCGAATTGAAGAGTACGTTAAAGAGTGTTAATGGTGAAGTTTTATTGTATGTATGTTTGGTGTCTTGGTTGGTGACACGCAAAGTTAATAAATTACCACAATTTTAAACGCGGTTTGGCGTGGCAGAACGTACAGTGTCGAGCTAATGCTACCTAGCCGCGACACTTACCAAAATCGCTTTGTCTTGTTCTGTCACTCGCGTTTGTTTCTTTTTCCCGAAGAGATTTCCCATCCTGACACAGCATCCCAGCTACAGAGTGCAACCGGGAAGAAAACGGGAAACTTGTCCGGTTTCAAACTATTTTCTAACTCTTAATAAAGAGACTAGTGGAGCTTCTCCTCCATTATTTGTGTAGTCATCTGTGTCCACACCCACACCAGGAAGGACGGTATCTGGGCAGGGACAAAAACCAGAGGAACGAGCTCTGGCAACGTCTCACATATAATTAAAAATAAGAATATCGTAAATCGACGTTTATTATGTCATTAAATTACGTTTCCACCGTGAACGTAAAGTCTGCGCCAAATAAAATAAAATAAACGGAATATGTAGAATCACGACTGTTTGCTGCCCCCCTGTGGTCAGAGAGGGGAACTACAGCACGATACTCGTAAAGCTAGCGTTAATAAGGACACAACAGCGTATAACAACTTCCGGTCAGTACCTTCAAAATAGATTTAACAAAGAAATTATCGCGAAATCATCAACATCGTTGTTATTGATGGTTGTTAATTATACAAATATTTGCACTGATTATTACTATGATTTAGAAGTATCAGTAAAATGATTGTAAATGTGTTAATCTATTCTTTATCAAACTAGTATTTTGTTCTTTTTGCTCAGTTTTTCTTTGGAACTGGAAAAGTATTTTAGCAGGTTTGTACCTGTATTTAATTTCACATTTCACATTTCATATTAACAACAATAATAATAATAATAATAATAATAATAATGTTTAGATTAATACTTTTTGTGCTCACTAACAAATTGTTTTGGTCACTGTATTTTGAAAGTACTTACCGGAAGTGTAGTATGTTTGAATTGACGCTATTTTTACTATTTTATTGTGTTGCAGTTCTACACTGTGGCCACAAGAGGGCAGCAAACACTCATGAGAAATACATTTTAATACATTTTATCGTACGTACACTTTATGAATACCTTTAACAGACAGACGTAATATAACGTTTTACCTTTAAAATATACATTTATAAATGCATGTTTAATACAGTAATATTATACTTAGGCCTACCGATCTCACTTTTTTGCTACATTTTAAATAATTAACATTAAAAGTTAACACATTTCAAAATAAAATGTTCAAACGACATTGGCTTACGAGCATAGTGATTAATTTTCTGCTTTGCTTTATTGAACAAAACCTTAAATGTTCTAAGTCCTTGTGTAGTAAGAAAAAAACAAATAAAAGGTTAAAATAAAAATGAGAAAAGTTAGAAATAAGACTACCACCTTAATATTAGTAATAATAACAATCAGAAACGTTAGCTAGCATTAATGGTAACATACCATCAGGTTAACTAAGTTAAAGTCACAGTTAACAGTAGCACTTAAAAACCAGATATTCTCATGTGCTTCTTGTTTTCACTTGTCTTTTTCTGTATTTGTTACTTTTTGCTGTAAGACATTTAATATAAAGCTCGTTAAATTTACTGAACAGGTGTTCATCCAGTGTGTAAAATGGTTAAAAAGCCTCATTAAGACCATTAAATAATGTTTTTAAAATTGTATGGCATATATAAAGAATTTACTGTTGAATTAAAACAAGCTAAACTAAAGGGTGTTTCAGCAGTGTGTCAGTTCAGTGTCTGACTTTCTGGTCAGTTCATCAAATAAAGGACCAAACAATAATTTGGATTAACATTTATTCATGAAAAGGTCGTAGAGTTCATTAATGACGAGTGTCCATCCAGACATGCGGGCGATACAGAAGGAAAATACAGCACACAACTAAACCACAAGTCTTTAAAAAATAAAATCAGTGCACAGATAATCTTACAAAGATTGCATAATATAAAGAAAGGTTATAAAACTTCCCAGAAATAGTGCAATTTTACCACCACCAGGAAAATAAAACAAAACCTGCTCCACCTTCGATGCCAATCGCTCCACTTTCCACAGAGCCCAAGAGTAGTTTGGTTTTCTTTGTGTCAACTTCCAACTGGATGTGATGCTTTTTGTTCAGGACGCAGAGAAGTGCAAACAAAGCTGATGTTACTTGGGTGGCTACATGACACTGAAACTGACGGTTAAACAGCACAGAACACACACGAATGTTACGATAAAATTCAAAGAATGTTTGCTTTTGGGAACAAATACCCTACATTGCACTTAGGAAAACAAATATAAAATGTGTGTACGACATCCCAAGAACCATCCATCCTCGCCACACGTTAAACTTAACAGAGCCAGGGTTTTATTGTGTCCCCTATGAGAGGGAACAAGGCTACATGTGTGCAAAAAAATAAACATTAATAGCTTTTAAATAAAGTTTTCACATTTAAAAGGATAGTGCATGGACTGAACCTAAGGCATCGGTCTCAAGTTCCTCAAGTTTAGCATATTTGAATCTTTAGTGTATGAAATGTGGTCTCATGTTTGGAAAGTCAGTTGGCTTCACTCCTCTTCCCCCTCACACACATAGATTTCATAAATGACTGATAGTTATAAACCAGCTCTTACTCAACTTCATTAATGACGACAGAGTAGGTAAAAACAGCAAATAAAGTCTGCAACAGATCAGCTACTCCCACCACAAAGCATCTGTGCCAAGAATCTGAGAGTTAGACACACGATGGAGCTCAGATATCTTATTCAAATAAGTATCTATAATTCATATCAAAAACCTTAGGTTATCTTTAAAACTCATCTTCTGCTCAGCGGCTGTTCTATGACTCAAACTTCCATAAAACTCATGAGGAGATATTCTGTTACAGTGGTGGAAAAAACACCCGTCTGTGATTCAATCCAGTACAATCCCCCTGCAGCGGGCACTTCCTCTGTGAAGATTATAATGTTGAGTTTTGAGGCCAGAGTTTGTGTTGCTGCCGTCAGCTGTTCCTGTTTTTTTGTCCACCCCCTTGAACCGAGCAGCAGCCGAAAGCCTAAAACTGTGAAGGATCTACTGAGGAAGCGGCTCAGTTGTAGACAAATCTCCCCCTCCAGGTCCGTTCATGATCGTTAACACAGTAAAACTCAACAGTCTGGTGAACTGTCCCTTTAAATCCCTGCCACTGAATCACTCTCACCTGAATGTCAAGAAAAAATTACAATTTATCGGTTTGCTGATAGGGAACACCGCACCCGCTGGTACAAATCCGAGAGTATGAGGCAACACACAGTATTTACAACACAGTAAACACACACACACACACACATACACACACACCAAACAGGGTTAACAAAACAGCTGTGTGAGTAAAAGTGGCACGGTCACTGCTGTCCCCCCCCCCCCTTCTCACCCGAGGCCACAACGTACATTCAAAATCTGTTATCGGAAATCCTCACACACACACACCGGGCTCAGATTCAACAAACACCACCTGGATCTGAACTCCATCGGGCCCTGGCTAATGTCTGACGACGGCAGTGTGCTACATGTACTGGTGTGCATATTCTACACTACATTCCCAAAGCTATGGGTTCTATTCAAAGCTAACCCTACAGAGAGGAAGGCCACAGGGCAAAAAGAACAAAACACCCTCATCCCAACATCCGTCGGCCACATTTATAATAAAGTCGAGCTCCTCGAGAGCGTGCATGCTGAAACACTCCTGGAGAACGTGGCGTTTAAATGCGGCTCTGGGCGTTAAGATGTGCATGCTGGTGTCAAATAAAGGAGGAGAGACTCTGGTCTTGAACATCAGAGGAAAAAGAAAACACTTGTTTGTAAAGTAGGGGGCGCTGTAAAGGTCTAAAGACTCTGTGGAGAACCGTAGCGTCTCTCCAGCGTTTTATCAGCTGGGCCTTTGGACGTTGCCTCCTCCCACTTCCCCACATCACTTACAGAACTATTACGCAAACTATTTATGCACATGCAACCGACACAAAAACAAAAAGTAGGTCTCAGTTTCACTGTGTGAGGAGGTTGTGTGTGGTTCAGAGATGAGCTTTGGTACGATCGTGGATGGATCCCAGTTCTGGTTGTGCTTAAAAAAGTGTTTCACAAACACAAGAGACGAAAACATCTGAAGAGACGAGCAAACACGTTTACTGTAACGCCTCCCTCAAAGGAGAGCGGATGGAGAGGATTACAAAGCATAAATATTATATTTATTTATATAGATATTGTTTTTCCTTTTACTGACTCCCTGTGAAGATAAAAAAACACCGTTAGAAAGAGGAGTAGGTGTCGCATCGGCGTGTCGAGAAAGACCGCCCCTCGGTCAGTGCGATTCAGAAAACACAGAGCACCAGTGGACGAGGGTTACACACACGCACGCCTCAGACCCAGAGAGAGGGGCCATGAACAGCCCTGAGCCTGAACACACACACAGTCCAGTGTATGTGAGCCCCCCCCACCCAGGACTGTCCGTTCATTTAAGGGGCGGTGTACGTCGGTTTTTGCGTGGAGCGGGCGAGTGCTGGCGTGAGCCCTCAAGGCATCGAAGCCTGGCAGGTTGGGATGGGTCAGTCCTGGTCAGTCACCGGCCTGCTCCCTCTCAGCTGGAGCTCAAAGCTGGTGCACGATGCTGTCTGTGTGGTTGACGGAAACCGGGCCGTCCTGGCGCAGACGCTGCCACTGGAAGGTCGTGCTGAGGGAGCCGACCTCGTCCTGCTCGTTCTCCTGCTCCTTGGCAAACTCCATGAACACCTGCAGGACAAACACACAGAGGAGGAGGAGACGGGAGGAAGAGTTACAATGATACAAAGCAAAGAAAGGCAGCAAATCCACACATTGAAGAAGAGGAATGAATAAATGCAACAGTTTCTGTTTAAGCCCACCAGACTCCATTCACAAAAACAGTCATTTTACTGTGCAGAACCCAGGAGCTGTTGGTCTACCACTGCCTCAGTCCCTTGAGTTGTTTGTTTGATTGTGTCCTGCAAGGTAAAATCCCTGTTTTTTGTCAATGGAGTCTGGTGGCGTTGAACAGAGCGAGGCTGTGTTTCTCTTTCTGGCAAAAACAAGCACTGTGGATGTACACTGGTACACACGGGCCCAGAAGGATTACAGCTTCTCGCTCAAGACTGGACCAATCTCAAAAAAGTGTTGTTGGGAAAACAGGCTCCAGGTTAAATAATGTCGAAGTTTCGCAGGTTAACACATTCATTTTATTGTTTCAGCAGTAATTTGCACAGCGGTTTATATGGAGTCTGGCATCTGTTTGAAGCTGTGGTGAGTTTTTTAACCACCTACCTGCTCTAAGGTCGACTGGGAGAAGTTGTACTCTTCAAAGTTGAAGGTTTGCTTGGCTGAAGATAAACAGAGATTAAGAAGAGAAATTGCATTGAATGAGTCAGCAGGTAAGTCCCAGATGGCTGCTGTGTGTGTGTGTGTGT